CCCCAAAACCCCAAAACCCCAAAACCCCAAATTAAATAAAAATTATTGAACAAATTATCTAACATATGGACAAAAGTTCTAATAAAAGCTTCAAAAAGGAGAAAAGTAAGTTAACAAGGAATCTTGAGTACTGCGTAATGAATATGGAAAGATACAATATTATTAGAATGAGTCAACCCTTATGGTTCATATCCCTCTTCTATATTAACAATGACTTTGTTGATTCATGTTGAATTTATCAACACGTTACTTACCTTAGAGCAGGCCTTATTCTCCATTTCTTCAGTTTGGTCACTGACTCATTAGCTTTACGTTGGTATCGCTATCCCATCCTAAAATCTCAGATGAAGAACCATAAAATTGATTATTTAAATCCATTCAAGCTTTATCATAATTTCAAACTTATAGCTACCAGGTTTGACAAAAAGGATTGCCAGATCTCACCTAGGTTCTACCAGAGCATGAACAAGATAGCCAAGAACTCCAGCAAGTTTGATGGTAAAGAAAAATAGTGATTTTAGGCTTGAGTTTGAAGAAAACAAGAAGTCAAGCCAGTGGACCTAAATAGAGTTGTCATTAAGGTAAGAAGTTTAGAAATTGAGGCCAGGTAGCTGAATGGTGAAGGCAGAGAATCTTGGATTTAGGATTGTAGGAGATAACGTGAGGGTGGTGAAAGAGTATATTCAATCATTTTCAAGCCTGCTTTTTAGTACACTTCTTCTAAAGATTACTAAGATGATTAACCTCTGGTCAATTGGTTCACACTCTTTTTGATCTGATTTTAAAAACTTCTTTATTGCATTTAAATAAACTTATTCAAAAAATTTTTATATTTTATTTTATAAAAGACAACTACAAGGCAAGTTTCTCAAAGTCCTATGGAACTGCACCAGGTATTTCTCTTTTAATTTTGTATAGAATAATCTCTTAAAACGGATGTGGCGTAAGAAAGCTTCACCTGATCAGCAATTTAAAAGAAGTAGTCAGTTTAAAAGGCCAAAAACTGCTGAAAAGATTGCGAAAAAGATGAAATTTTACTACTCTCCTTATTCTAACAAATTAAACTGTGGTAGCTATATGGTATTCAATGGCAAATAATGACCCTCAGCTTGACGCTGAGGTAGAGGTAAGGCATGGACCATTTTTTTAGGATTTTAAAATTAACAACGATCTGCACCAAGATAGTGCTACAAAGAAATGGAAACTGGTATACCAATATATTGATACCCTCACACCAGAATTCTATCAACTTGTAATATAAGGTTCTAATGGCTTAGCAAAACGGTAAGAGTAAGAAAAATGGGATGAATGATTCCCGGAAGCGATACAAGAAGAGAAAAGTTGATACTAAGAAATTCTCTAAGATGAATTCGTAAGCTTTGTTAGTCATAATTCAGCTTCAAGAAAAGCAATTTCAAATAGCTCTAGGAGGAGGTATGAGACTTCTCTGATATTTTAGTAATTATGACAAGTCAGAAGCCAGCTCTCCTGGTATAAAATAATGATAGGTTAAATCTCTCTGAAAGAGTAAAGCTCCCTCTTACTTTTAGATCGACAGCTGTGAAGTAAGTTTAAAAACTTCCAACAAGAAGATTAAGCTCTTTGACTTTGAGGATGAGACATCAATGAACCAGATAAAAGGTATTTTGAAGAGTTACCCTTGATTTCTAGAAGAGGAGCATTATATTCATAAGTCAGATAAGGATATCCAAGTCATTGATAACTCAAAGAGTAGCAGCTTCCTGTGCAAAAGCGATTCAAGCTTGTCCAGATGCAAGAATGAGAACAATCAGGAGGATATGAAATCTTCCCAAAGCTCTAACCTAAGGATCAAGATTAAGAAGTAAGCTTTCTTGTTTATAATTCTGTAGAGTCAAGCAAAGGCCGTTGACTTCCAAGAGAAATAATTGTGACTATAAATAAGTTTACGAAGAACCTCGGATATGTACAGATGAAAAATAGTAGCTTTATATCATGAGTTTGTAGATTATTGCAAAAATTCATCCCAGAATGCAAGCAATGTAAGGTCACGGAAAACTCGTTCCTCAAAGAGTCACAAGAAATGATCTCAGAATAGAGTCAATAGAGAGGGTAAAATGTACGAAGTTTATGGGTTGGAGATGATATATTTTAGCAAATATTTCAAGATTTGAAATGACTCAAGGATAAGAGGAAACTACTCAGGTAGCCTCTGGGACGCAGAGAGGGAAGGTTTTACTAACTCCATTAACGCTTCAACCCGGTAATCTTAAGCATTTAACTCTTTTAGCACTTTCAAAGCCTCAACCTGAAACCCAAACACAAATCTCCAGATGTACTTTGATCATAAAAAGAAGGTGAATGAAATCAAAAGAGCTTTTGACTTCTTAAAAGCTGCCTCTTGAGGACTTTCTATAAGCCCAAAGGCAGAATAGAGCGGCATATTACTCTATTATGGCTTAATATCCTTATTCTCTTCTTTGGGGTTTTGGGGTTTTGGGGTTTTGGGGTTTTGGGG